GTGTTTTGGAATGAGTGTGTGGAATGTTATTACATATCTTCAAGGATAGATTACTTGAAAGGTTTCTTTCTACCTGTTGGCCAGCCTGACCAATAAACCTGGGCATTTCAGTAGTGCTATATGTTCTGTATTGTTACTGGACTCATTCTCAGTATGCTAGGTAATTCTCTTACATCAATGACAGTCATCATTCATGAACTCATTCAGTAAGTATTTAGGTGGTCGCTCTTGTGCTAGTTAGTTTTCCCATTTTTCAAATAAGACAATTAAGAAGTATCAGTCTTGAGTGCAAGCAGTGCACTCTTTGGGTGGCACACCTCAGCATGTGACTGATTCCGTGACTTGTGGTGAGGCTGGTGGCCCCGCGTTTGGGAGCTGTGGGTTAGCTTCTGCATCAGAGAAGCCCCGGGAAAGGCATCTACAGCCTTCTGAGAAGCCAGCAAGGAGAAGCTGCCGGCCAAGTGCTTATTGATTACCTACTGTAGGCCTGTGGGTTTGAGCCAGAGAGATCCAGATATAAGAAAATGAGTCTGACTTTGAGGAGGTTACAATCTAGTTGTGGAGACAAATCTAATATGAAAAAAGTCATATTTTGTCTTGTTTCCTAATAGATTGTCTTTTACTTATTCAGTGCTAGGAGCTATAAGGGATATTGACCCTAAATCACACACATAATGTAAAATATTTTTCCTTTTAGAGACTCTCTTTTTAAACTACCATATAAAAGAAAAAAATTTTTGTGTCATTGTTTTCCTTTGTGGTTCTGACCTTTGTATAAATGCTTAGGAAGCTCTTCTCCTTACTCAGGTAATAAAAACATTCTTCTATTTTTCCTTTTGGTGCTTTTATAGCTATGTTAGAATGTTTAGAACATTAAGCCATTTGGAATTTATGTTTATATATTATGTGATGTAGCAGTCTAACTTAATTGACTTTCCACAGTGCTTATTTAGTTGTCTCAGAGAGTAGTCCTCCCTTATCTGCGGGGGTCACATTCCAAGAACCCAGGGGTTGCTTGAAACCTCGAATAGTACCGAACCCTACATATACTATGTTTTTTCCTGTATATGCATACCTTTTCACTTAAAGGAAGCACTTGACGAATTCTCTTTAGCATATCCGAATTGCCAGCATCACTACTCTTGTACTTTGGGGCTATTATTAAGTAAAATAAAGATTTCTTGAACACAAGCACTGTGATACTGTGACAGTCGATTTGATCACCAACACAGCTAGGAGGTGACTAACAGGCAGGGGATGTCTACAGTGTGAAAACGCTAGACAAAGGGATGATTCACATCCTGCGCAGGACCTTGTGAGATTCCATCACACTACTCAGAACAGTGCGAGATTTGATCATGCTACTCAAAACAGCGTGCAGTTTAAAACGTATGAATTGTTTATTTCTAGAATTTTCCACTTAATATTTTCAAACTGCTGTTGACCACAGGTAACTGAAACTGAGGACAATGAGACCATGGATAAGGTGGGGCTACTGTACTATTTGGTGAAGAATCCAGCTCTGCCCTTCTAATTTGAAATGCCCTTTTCTTTACATGCTAAATTCTCACACATTCATGGGTTTTTCTCTCTCCACTTCTTTCGTAACTTACTAGCTATGTGGGTTTGGTTAAAATGCTTTCCCAGTGGTCTTCCCCATATTTAAAATGGGGATAATGTCATAGGAGCTATTTCACCTCACAGAGTGTTGTGAGAAGTAAACCATAATATGTCAGAACTTGGCCTCATGGTAAGCACTTAATAAATGATATCATTATTTTCATTGTTTCTTGTTTTAGGACCGGTGCCAATGGCTCTTAATTGCTGTAGTAGGTAGTT